CTGTGGTCAAGGGAGGGGGTGGACCCCGTGAACTCGAAAAGACGCCAAGTCCTCATCTTGGGAACAAACGGCCAGATGCTTCTGCGTCCAAGAGGAGGAAAAAGTCCCCAGCCCAGAGCGGCCTTCATCCGCCCGCGGCTTTGGCATGGAAGGCGGCGCGGAGAACGTCGAGCGTGTGCACCCGGAGGGCTGCCAGGAGCCCTCCTGCGCTGCCCTCCGACCTCAGAGCTTCACTTCACAGGCTCGTCCTGACCTCCGGCACTTGGTCCCCTCACCCTTGGCTTCTCCCTGGCAGAATCAGAGCGACAGGATGGCAGAGCCTCGTGCTGTCTGGGCCGCAGCCCAGGGCCTGTGGCAGTCCCTGGCTCACTCAGGTACAAGCCAGTGTTGGCTGAGTGGATAAATGTGCTTCCTCGGCAGGTGAGGATGCTGCTGACTGCAGGAAGCCGGTTTTACCAGCCAGGGGCCGGGGCAGGGAGAGGCCAGCATCACTGCCTGGCCTGGGGTGCAGGGCTCAGGGCCAGCTGGTCCTCCGGGCACCGTGCCCAGGCCCACAACTCTTGGAGGGGCCTGTGAAAATGTTTTAATGCCTCCTAAAATCAGAGGACAAAATACGAACTGTTTAGGGTCAGAGAAAATGTTTTGATTTTTAATCCAGCCAGGATTACACTTGTCTTTATGTCAACATGGTCATGAAACATAATTTTCAGTAATTTTTTTTTTATGGAAAGGGGAGCCCTTGAACGTCAGACGCTGCCCAGCCACCTCTGTGTCGTGACTCCTTCCATTAGTCCTGCTGGAAGCCCACTGGCTCCTTTTCCAAACTCTGTCCTTCCCAGGAAAGGGGATGCGGCAAGAACAGCCAGGCAGGGATCAGGGTGCCCAGCTGTGCACTCTGCGACTCATCACACCTGGTCTGGTCCCTGGTGACCACATTCCTTGGAAGGCGTTCTAGCAAAGAGTGAGTCAGAATCCATAGTGACATCTGGGGGCACCAAGACCTAAGGGACTTTGATCAAGTTGCTTGGCCTTGTCACTTCTGTTTCTGATCTGTAAGAGGTGGCAATGACAACGGTGCCCCCTGGGCAGGGTGACTGTGAGAATTTAACCTCCCATAACAATAAAACAATGTCTAACACTCGGGAGCACAGACAGGCTGCAGGGCCCAGGGCTCAGCATTCTGCATGAATTCACTCTTGTCTTCTTCCCAACCATTATGATGAAGCCCGGGGAATAGACGAAGGGACCAGGCACCTGGGGAATAGACGAAGGGACCAGGCACCTGGAGGCTGGACCAGCATCCCAAGCCCCCACAGGGCTGCCTGCAGAGGCACCAGCATCTGTCCCACTTCCTGCCCTGGGCAGGAGTCCAGCCGGGGGTCTGGCCTGCGGTGAGGGCTAGGCTCTCCGCAGCACCTCCTGGACAGCCCTCCCCTCAGGGGCACGCTGCCCACTCCAGTGGGGCCCTCATGTGCCGGGGCCCCTCGCTCGGGGTGCGAGTGCAGCCTGTGTGCTCGGGAGGGGCTGCCTCCCCTTCTCTCTTCAGTACAAAGGGACAGACGAGCAGATGGCAGCCTTCCTTCCGGCCGTGTCCTGTCCTGGAGATGCGAAGACACTCCCAGTTGGCTCCCGATGAGCCACAGGTGCCCGGGAGTTTACAGACTCCGCCCCTCTCCACGCCGGCAAGCCCCCGGAGCGGAGGCCCAGCTGTGCCGCTGCTGCCAGCGGGGACTGACCACAGCCAGAGGAAGAGGGGCCGGCACGCACTGCCTGGGTGGTCTCCAGCGACATTTGGGGAGCAGGTGGGCAGCGGCTCACCGCACGCCAACAGAAAGCTTCTAAGAAGAGGTTTGTGCGTCCTTAGACAGGAAGGGAGCCCACCCGTGTCACTGTCGCCGACAGCCACCGTATGGGTAGGAAATGGAGGCCCCACCAGGTGACAGGGTTGCCTAGTGGCTGCCAGATGCCATCCAGGTCTAGACCAGGATTAGATGCTCTACCCCCGAGTCGGTGGCCTGCCTGCTCCCCCACTTGGTGGGCACAGGAACTGGGCGTGGCACTACCACCCAGGAACTCAGCTTTCCCGGGCGCTGCCCGAGGCAGCGGTGCCCACGGAGTTCCTGTTCATGCTGGTGGGCGGTCCCGGGGCAGGGCCTGGGCCATCTCTGCCGATAGCGCGGGCTGGCTCACAGCCGGCGGGCACCAGGCTGCCCAGCACATAAACCCTCGAATCCACGGGCTGCAGAGCAGGCCCTGCTGAGCTTTCAGAAGAACAGACGTCTAACAGGGAAAGGCTGAGACCCAGAACCGGGAGGAAGCCGGTCAGCCCATCTTATTAATGAGAGTGCCCCGGAACCCAGGGCACAACTTTGCCTGAGCGTCATCTCTGACCCAGGCCCCAGGTCACCCGAGGAGCTTCTGGAAAAGGCAGATTCCCGGGCCCACCCTCAGGGGCACGGCATCCACTGGGCTGGGGTGGAGCCCAGGAATCTGTATATCCACCGTGCCGCCCCAGGAATTCTGGTGGGCACCGTGCTGGATGAGCTCCGCGGCAGGGACAGGAAGACTTTCACAGCTGTGAGCCTGTGGTCTGGGAGATGCTGGGCTCGCTTACTTCTTATCTTGTTCTCAAAAGGTCCCGAAACTCACATGCCTCATTGGTCAGACCGGCCAGTTGGTAAACTCTGCCCTTTCCCTGACCTAGGCAGCCACACCAAACAGCATGCCCAGCACCTAGACAGGCAAATCCCAGGGAGGGGCGCAGGGTCAGGGGTGCAGCGCCCAAGCCTTGCCCTGGCTCTGGGCAGCGTCTTGTGAGCACCAGGCTACACTCCTCATGGCCTCTGATAGGAAAGAAACCAGGCAAAGTCCAGGAGCGATAAACGAAAAGGTTATATAATTCAGCAACACTGTCTAAATCCACTTGGCAAAACCCAGCATTAACCCCAATAAAAAGAAACACTGACAAGCTGGGAAACTATTTGCAGCTTAAGTCTCAAAGGGCCAGATGACTCTAGAATATAAGACAAAGACCAGCCCTGGATGCGAGCAGTGCGCAGAGGACGCCAGCAGGTAGTACACAGGGTGCACCTGAGGAAGGGCTCGGCCTCACACAAGACAGAGAGAAGCAAAGTGAACCCGCAAGGTCCTGTCTGTCATCGGCTGGATTAGCAAGCGCGGAGGAGGGGGAGAACCCGGGCTGACAGAGACGGGAAGCAGGGGCCCTGGTGGGCTGCTGGTGGGGCGCCTACGGAACGACCCCGACGCAGGGCAAATGGACAGTATCTATCAAATCCACCAACAGGGCCACCTGCAGGCATCTGTCCTAGTGCCACTCACTGGAGGGGCAATGACGTGTGCACTGAGGTTTTCTACTGCAGCCCTGCCTGTACGAGCGAGCGAAAGACCAGAAAACAGACAGTCATCCATCCCAGGGGGCCGGGTAAGTCACTCTCGGTAGCAATAGCAACAACAACAATAATAATAGCTCTCATCCAGGGTGAAGATCGGGAGTCCGGTCCTGTTCCCAGCCCCAGATAATTAAAAGCCCCGCCCAGGGACCAGCAGCCTCTCCATTGCCTGGGGGCCGGTTGGAAATGCAGACTCCCGGGCCCCGCCCAGACCTGCTGAATCAGAGTCTGCATTTTAACCAGATGCCCCGTGGCGGCCCCGGTGGTGGCAGGGGGTTCCCCATACGTGTTAAGGCACTGTTTTTAAACCCTTCCTGCACTAACTCCTTTAATCTCAGAACAAGCCAAGGGCCCAGGCCCCCACTGCCTGCCTGCTGGAGTAAGTCACACAGCCAGTGAGAGGCAGAGACACGCTCCACACACGTGCAAACACGCACCAGCCTTTAGCGAGCAGGGAAGCTCTTGAATCGCTAAAAAGGACTAACCTTCAAGGTTAAGTTGCCAGATGAAAAATAAAAAAGCAAGGTGAGGACACTATATACACTCTGCCACTACTTGTGGGAGAAAAACAAAAAAGGAAAGCAGAATTTATAGGTAATTGCTGAAATACCCAGAGAACATCTCTGAAGAGATACCCAAACGCGTGAAATCAGCAGTTGCTTCTGGGAGGTGGAACTCGGCAGCTGGGGGAAGGCAGCCTGGGGACGCTATTCACTGAGGCACACATCTGCAACCACTGGGAGCTGTGGGCATGCATTAACCTACTTCACAGTAAGTGTTGTTGTTTTGTTTTGTTTTCCCCCTTAAAACTGGTGCAGGAAGAAGCTACACACCCCACACCAGCCCCACTTAATAAGAAATACACTTTGGGGACGAAATCGGCACAGCCAGGCCCACCCCAGCTCCCACTCACTCGCCCATCTGCCCTTCTTGGAGAAGACGAATGTCCTCTTGGGAAGTGAATGGAGCTGGGGGCTGGGGGGGAGGCAAACAGTGAATTCTCCAAGTATTTGTGACTCAACCACATTTTCGGTTTCTTGGAAGGGGTTTAATGCCCTGCACCAACCAGTGCAGTGGTCCTTAACCAGGGGCAATCGTGAAATGTCTAGAGACATTTTTGGATGTTACAACTGGGAGCGGCTGTTGGCATGGGGTGGGTAGAGGCTAGGGATGCTGTTAAGCATCCTGCAATGCACGGGACAGCCCAGGATGTCCTGTGTCCTGAGGTACAGGAGGCGCATCAGTGTGTCGCAAGCTGTTGTATGCTGGGTGATCACCAGGGGCTCTCGTCAAGTGCAGTTTCTAATGCTGCAGCCCTGGGGTGGGCAAGAGTTGGCACATCGATCACTGCTGCTGTGGGACCACAGAGCCAAGAGGCCTGACTCCACATAGCAGGTGCCTCCCATATAATCACCTCGTGCAGGGGAGCTAGCGGCTGCTCTCAGCTGGGACCAAAAGGCTGGACATTGAGGACCAGCTGGGGAGGGCCAGGGGCAGCCACCCTTGATGGGAACGAGCACAAGCATTGTGGAGACCCTGCATCGGTCCAGGCTGCATCAGAACCAGCAGGGGAGGTGGCTGGGGACTCACCATCCAGGGTCTCCACGGAGAGCTGCAGGCCCAGGTTGTGCCGGGGGTTGACCACCCAGTGGTTGCTGGTGGCCGTGATGTCGAACACCAGCCAGCCCTCCTCCGAGGCCCAGAGGGTGCGGCTGTCCAGCAGGAACAGGTCTGAGTCCCTACAAGAGAGGAGGAGACACAGGCTCTGGGTCCGCAGGTCGTGGCTGCTGGTGATCCAGCCAGATATTGGTGGAGACGAGGACCGTGCAGGGTGGGGAGGCAGGAGGAGGGCTGCTGGTCCCCAGAGTTGGGTGCATCAGACCAAAACCCAGGCATGGAGACCCTCAGTAGCTGTGGTGGGGAAAGGAACTGAGGGAGAGGTGCAAAGAGACACGCATAGGGCACAGAACACGGCTACAAGGCAAGCTTGCCGTTGAAATCTGTGAGCAGGGTGCCAGGAAGACAGAGTCCAGAAAGGCAGGAGTTAGATGACCTCTGTGCTGGATGGCTCAGGGACAGTACTTCACACTTGCTGAGTTACTCGCTGTTTGCCAGGTGACAACTGTCCCAAGTGTCTACACACATTCTCACATTCATTTCTCTCAGTCCCATGTGGGAGGGACACGATCATCTCTGGAGGTCATCAACCCAACACGATCAACCCATGTTGGAGGTTCCAGCACAGACACCCTTCCAGGCTACATAGCCTCTTCCGGAGCCTACCTGGTGTCAGGAGGTGGACCCCTGGACTGATGTCACCGACAGGCAGCCCTGGAATTCTCTCTTCCCCACACGCTGCAGTGGCAAGATGGGTCAGACCCAACTGAGCTTGTAGGGACGGAGGATGGGTAAACAGTTGGATGATAGATGGGCAAGTGGATGGGTGGGTGGATTTGACATTTCTAGATAGAATTCTAGTATATAAAGTGTCATAACATCTCTTTTGTACTTTAAATGATAAGGATTCCAAGTTTCAATATGTTGAGTCTCTTGCTAGTCGATGAAAATAGTTGAGCCCCTACCCTGTGCCAGGCACTGGGGTACGCTGAGGGGCAACTCCGGACCGGTTCCTGCCATCGGCCATCTCTAGCTTACCTGGAGTGACCTAACTTTCCTGGAAATGAGGGCGAATGTTCTCTGCTCACAGGTGAAGCCATCGCGTGTGACAACTTCCACTGAGCACTCACCACGCGCCAGGCCCTGGGTGGAAGTGCCCGGCCAGCCTCGTGTCCTCGAGTCCTTACAGCAGCCACGTAAGGCGGATGTGCTACCTGGGCCTTTGTGTAGACCTCAAAATGGGCCCAGAAAGCAGAGCTGCTGTCCTGGTTCCACTGCTAGGAAGTCGAGGCAGGACTGGAACCCGTCCAGGTCACGTGTAAGCCCAAGTTCAAGACCACACAGGAAGACAGCTCTTCTAGACACGCCCTTTGCTCTGGGGTAGTTGTGACCCACTCAGCCCTCAGCTGGAGCTGAGAAGCAGGTGCTTCTTCAGATGAGACTCATGTCTCCCACTGTCCTTGTCCCCTGCTCTTTCTTCTGAAATGATGGCCAAACATCCCTGCTCACCCACCCCGTGCAGCCTGGAGACCTGCGGGTGTGTGGGGTTGGCCGCATAGCGAGTGTGCCAAGTGCCAAACACACCGGGCCTTTGCCAGGTGCGTCAACGCGCACTCGACTCACGGGAAGCCACCCAGACACTGAATCTGCGGTGTTTGCCTGTGTCTCAAACTCACTTCAATTCAGACCCGCTAAAGTGTAGCAGGACAGGAAGAGGTCACTCGGAGAAGCCAACTCAGGGTGGAGGACCCGGCTCGGAAACAGACAGCAGTCGAGGCCCGTGTGAGGGCGCAGGCTGGCTCATCGCGGTGGTCAGAGGCATGAACTGGAGCAGCATCTCACCCTGTGCATCTCTCCACCCAAAAGTCTGGAGGCGGAGAGTCTACTTGGCCTAGTCAAGTCCGTGCCCAGCCCTTGGCCGCGGAAGGGCAGGACACTCCACAGTGACGGACAGCATCACCAAAGGCACAGGACAGGAACAGGGGGTTATCCCTACCACAGGCTCCCCAAAATCCCCCTCTTTGAGTGATGCTCACCAACTACCATAACCCAATTCAGAAAAAGCTGACTTACACAATGCATTAGATATGGAATGGAATAAAATGAATGAATAGGCCTTCTGATCCTGGACCGGGGAAACGCAGCCACAGTATATAAGACAGTGATTACGTGGTCTCCTAGCCAGCCCGACTGCAGTCCTCTCTTTAATGCAGAAACATGATAAAAGCAAAGGAGTGTTTTCAGAGACACAAGGGATTCTGAAGACCCTAAGTTTGACTTGCGTGTCCAAACTGAGTAACAACAAGGAGATGATCTCCTGTGACCCCCCCCCCTTCCCAGCGGCCTTCCAGAGGCGGCGGCAGCGCTGGATGGAGGGATGGCCTCACAGACTGGCAGTGGACGGGAACTTCCTGCTGGCTTCATCGCCAGTCTGCCGTGATGACTTTCCTGGCCGCAGAGGGCCCCCAAGGTTGTCAAGGAGCCGGTCAGTTGTCCTCAACAATTCGATGAGAGAAGAAACACCACTCCGAACCAAAACAATTTCCCTTCCTGAGTCAGGCTCCGGGGCCCCTGTACAAACACCCACACCACCTGGGTGGTGACTTTGCTGGGAAATTGTTCTTTGTAGGAAAATGTGACCAGCTCTCTGGACAGGCCCTTCTGGGCAGCAGAACAATAAATAGTAACTTACAGAACAGAATTAGGCCTTTGATGAGCAGGGGCCCTGCCAAGCGATACTAAGCGTTCCCTTATTACAGGCCATGACTCCGAGGGCCAGCTGTTTCAGGCCGGTGTTGACTCACCCGCGTGAATCAGCGTGGATGCACCGGCTCGCCTCCTCCGAGCCACAGTCCGCACTTTGTTCCAGCCGGGCTGGGAAGAGCCAAACCTTCCTCTGAAGGCACCGGGACAGGGGAGACTTGTTGAGGTGGGAAGAGCGAGGGGCCAACACAGGCTTTCCTTTTCTATGGAAGCCCCAGGCGAGAGGTGGGCCCACGTGGATGGGACCATGGAGAAGTTGCTCAGCAGCCAAGTCCAGACAGATATAGGTGGGAACGTGGGACTTCCTGGCTGCCGCCCGGAGCATCTTATTGGAACACAGTATTTCTTAGGTCCAGGAACTGAACGAGCCCTTTGTGACATGTGTATTTACCTTGAACACACTGGCCTCCCCGACCCAGCCCAGGGGAGGGCAGAAGAGGTGGGTAAGGCTCAGCTGGGCCCGCTGCTGAAATCCTAGGGGCTTTCCTGGCTCCGGTTCCCTGAAACTCCCCAACAGTGAGAGCACCGCCCCCATTTCACAAATGAGCAGAGTGAAGTTCCCAGGTGAGGCCGTTCGTCCACATTGATAGACCCTATACATGAGCATTTCACTTGAGCACCGAAACCCACCACCTCCTCAGCTCACCCTCTGCCCAAGGGTCGAGAGACACAGGAAGTTGTTGAATCCTGCATGTTCTTATCACGACATTGCATGAGGCAGAGGAAATTCTAGAGGGGATGAGCTCTAGGTGGTGGGGAACAGAGGAGGCGGGTAGGTCAATCCAGCTGCACGCTGAGCCTCAGTTTCCTCCTCTGTGAGGTGAGGATAATGCCACCTTCTCCAGCAACCTGTGTGAGCCAAGTGAGGACCAGCCGGGGACAGACTGTCAGGGCTCCCTGGGGCTTCTCCGCAGCTCCGACCCGTCACGCAGGGGTCGGCGTGTGTTCCCGGAGAGACTGCAGGAAAGTCTGGGGACACCCCACTCATTACGTGACTTCCAAAGGCCCACAAGTCAACAGACTGTGTACCCATTCGAAGGATGGTCATGTGACCCCAAAACTCACCAGAGGAGTGTAGCCACACGTTCACAGTGGCAGCTTTTCTGCAACTCCGACCGCTGACGATTCCCGCTGCCGGACCCATATGCAGCTCTACCATAAATCGGCCCAGTCTGCGCCACCTCTGAAGTCTGGGCTGACCGTTCCACTTGCTATGACCGGTCGAGCCCGTGGAGGGGGGGGCCCGCCACGTCCAAGGCTAGAAAAGGAAGAGGCTCGGCACTTCTCTCTGGGAAGCTGGCCACTGGGTGAAGAGATCTGACCACTGCTGCAGGAAGGGCAAGGGAGCTGAAGCCGTGCAGGTGGCAGGTCTGCGAGAGACACCGAGCCAGCCCTGGCATCAGTGAGGGACCACCTGGGGCGCTCCAGGCCCCCGCCCCCACTGAGCACCCAACTTCATTGGGGACGCAGCAGCCACTGCAGAGTAGAACCACCCAGAAGGAAGACTCAGAAGGTTCACTTCCTCCTTCCCAAAAGTGGGTTCCCCCAAGGCTCTGCTCTCTGTGAGGCACCAGAGACCCCAAGGCCATGGTGCTGGGGGGTGTTAATATCTAACCACACACCCGAGGACAGGCTCCTCCTCGCAGGGACACCATGAGGACCGGTGAGGCCTCCCCCACAGGGAGGAGGAGGACCACACACGCCACCGGGGCCGGCGTCCACCCCGTGTCTCTCAGCCCGCCTTCCCCTGGAAAGTGCTACCACTATGGAAAAGTGGGTATTTTAAAATCTCCAACATGGAAAGGTGAAAAGTCGTTTTTCTTCCCCCTCTGGCTCTTTAGAGACTATTTAGAGACCATGGTCTCAGGGGCATGATCCACTCCAGGGGCAGTAAGACCCCTGTGTGGGATGCAGGGTGGGTGTCACCCTCTGGACTGGGGCCTTGGAGAAATGACCGCTCTGCACACACACACACACACACACACACACACACGGCCCCAGGGGATCCAGCCCTGAAACAGTAAAGTGGGGCTGAGAGGGACGTCTGGGGTGCTGCTCTGGACCCAGGGGCCCTCCAGGCAGGAGCCGGAGCCAGGGCACCCATGGGCTCCAGCTGGGCCACCCAGTGTTCCTGCCTCAGCACCAGGTGCTGCCCCCCGCCCCACCTCATCGGAGAGAACTTCAGACGCTGTGGTGGGCAGAATAACGACCCCTGCCCCGAGATTCCGCATCCTAATCCCAGAGCTTGTGACCCTCGTGCTTTCAGTGGCAAAAGGACTTAGCAGATGTAGGATTTCTGAGACGGGAGATGGCCCGGGACAACCCACATGGGCCCCAAGTCATCGCACGGGTCCTTATA